TAGTTTTCGTCACAAAAATATCACCAAACTTCTAAATAAAGACCCAAAACACTTCTAATATTAAAAATTGAAATAAATGTGAGCTATATACATGTATGAAAGACTAACAAACGAGAATTACTCTCCAGTCTGCTTCTTTCAGCTCATGTTCATGGGGCCGGAGCCCATCCCAGCAGCTCAGGGCACAAGGTGGGCACCCACTGCACAGGACACCCTTCCACACTGCAGGGCGCACTCACACACACAACCACACTCACTCAGACTGAACAATTTAGACACACCAATTCACCTAACGTGCATATCTTGGGATGTGGGCGGAAACCAGAGTACCTGGAGAAAACCCGTATAGATATGGAGAGAATGTGCAAGCTCCACACAAAAAGTGGCACCGGCCAGAAATCAATTTTTTTCCTCGTCCTTATAATGAAATGATGTTGAATGGCATGCCGTTATTTGAGATCTGCTGTGCTTTCATAGCACTTAGAACACTTTATTCTATGTATTGGTTTGTAGGTTTTTCTCTCTGCTAATCTGTATACGACTCTTATTTGTACTCTCAGCACTTACAGTATTTGGTCTGAAGAGATACAATTAAAAAAATAAAAATAAAAATAAATACTCTAGACATATACAGGTAAATATGGAAGTGATCTTGGGATCGCAGAAAGATTTTCTAGGTAAAAAAATCTAAAGCTTAGTTATAAAAAGTCGTAAGAGCCTATGGCCAGTGTCCCTGATGAAGCCTATTACACTTCTGTAAATTGCTGATTGAGAGGATCTTCCTTATATTACCCTTAACATGTGGCTTCCAGCTGTGAGTCCTACTTTTATCTCTTGGATACCAAACAGACCCATTCTAATTCCTCTTCTACTTTGATTATTTGAAGAGTGTCATTAGGCTAAGAACCTCTACTCTTTTCCAGGCAAGTAATTTTATCATAAGTAAAAGGCAAATTCTAATTCTAAACCTTTGTTGCAGGCATCTATGTTATGTCCTGATTAGTGACAAAGCTTTACTAGCCTATTGAAGTCTCAAATGGTAATCTAATTAATGCTCTTTGTGGCAATAAGTGTAAAATGATTTGAGTTTGTGGTTTCACTCTGTACTACTGACAAGCCTCAGCCTAAGCGACGGCAAAGGAAAATGAAGAGAAAAAACAAGAGGAATTGAGATGAGAACAGGACAATTGTAGGGTACAGGCTATGAGGGAGGAAGGATGTAGCACCTTCTACAGCTTCAGCTTAGACTGTGTTTCATGTTTAACCCACATCTTGAATGTAACAGAAGTAGGAAGCTCATCAACACTTGCTGACAATCTTGGACTCTCTACGTTAAGTTGTTAACATTAATCTATTTTTCTGTTATGTGTCATTGGTGATTTACAAACTTCTCTTTTAGCCTAGGGATGCTTTCTTGAAAGGAATACTTAGCAGCAGAAAAATGTGTACAAGTAGGTTAAGGTGGACAGCAGCTAGAGCCCTACTTGCTCCAGACCCTCCCAGAGCAGGCAAGAGTCTTCCACTCATTCGTGCGTTCATTCAACAATTATTTACTACTGAGCACCTACCAATGTGCCAGACATGGGGATGCAACAGGAAACGAGACAGATTAGACCCCTTCTCTGATGAAGCTTCAAGCCTAGAGCACAGTTTTTTTAATTACTAATTTAAAAGACTGGTCTTGGGCAAAATTCTGAATGGAAATCCTTTCCTTTGCACTCCCATTCCTCACGTTTCTCACCAACCCTAGAGGGCCCAATAACTCCTAAGACAATAACAGAAATATCTTCTGACAAAAAGAGAAAGTACACTAGCAGTCCTAAAAATTGTACTTATTCCTTAGAAAACAAGCCACTAAGTACCTGGAGATCCATTTTTAAGTACAACTTAGAAACTCACAGCATTCTCCAATAAAGAATATTAACAATCACCCTAAATCTGGATCAGCACTGCTGTCATTTATAAACTGAAGATTAGTACAAACAATCTTTATAACTGGTTATTACAAAAAGTTTAATTTGAATAGTTTCAAACTATAGCCAAAAAATGGCATCTGAATGTAATATCTACAATAAACTAAAACTCAAAAACATGTTCATTATTACAGCCAAGTTAGATTAGATGGTAACAGGGATATAAGAAACTCAAAAGAAAAGTGTTTTCTGAAACTTATCCAAAGTTTCAACAGATCTTGATGGGACTCAGAACAGTAGAACTCAGGAGCCAGGATGTCTTAGTTCAAATCTTAGCTGTCATTTACCAGCATTGTGTTGATCTTAGACAAGTTACAAGATTTCTCTCTACTTCAATTCCTTATCTGTAGAATGGGATTAATAGCAAGCATAGTCCATACGGTTTATATAAAGATTAAATGAGTTAGTGAAATACAATGTCATGTAAAATACTTACAATGGTATCTGAAAAAAAGTAATCAAACACTACATCACCAGTGTAGTGACTGATCTAGCAGCAATGAGTGCCACAATAGATAACCATTTTCTTCTTATGGAATTACTAATGTCTGATGTAATGCTAGTTAAAAATTTTGAGAAAATAGAAGCAAAAATGTTAAAATAATCTCTAAACTACAAATGGAGTGTATAACAATCTTAACCATAACAATCTAGGCAGGTAAAATTCAAACCAAGAATTCAAAAAATAGCCATTGCTACTAAACATTCAAAATTTAAACTATACTTAGAAACTATTCCTCTCTAGTGGCCACTGAATACCTAATTTAAGAAAAACTGTGAGAACGACATCTTGCTATGTGTAAGATGAGTTCTCTATGAAAGTCACTATATGCACTAATTCCCATACATGTCTATTGTCTAATTAGTTGAGATACTGTCAAAGTAAACAAATACTGCCACCTTGTGGACTTAAGAGTATGGTATTAGCCCAAAATTAAATATAAGCAAAGAAAAAAATTTAGAAGCCAAGTTTCTGGTTCAGCTTTTTCTCTCAGTGAGATACTCACTGTAATAAATGGCCAACATTCTATATATTTCTTGTGACTTTATAGTAAGAATAATTTCTTCTACAATGTAATGAAATTTTGCATCAAATTCAACATCATTTGTCATCTCTAACATCCCTCTAACCCAAAGAAATTCTTCATAAATGTCCTGTTTTGAGAGAAATTAAAAGCCTTTAAAATAAGTTTATTACCAATAATGTGTTTGAATGTGAGAAACTAGGCAAAGCAAAAAAATCACTGGGGCTGTAAAGGTTTCAAAGTCCCTTCAATTGTTTGGATATTATTTTCCTTTGTTGCTACTTACTAGTCTTCATCTGTCCTGCCTAATAAACCTTGAATTTTGGAAATTTTTTTTTTCCGAAATGTTATTAAAAATACTGTCTGATTCCACTTATATGAGATAGTCAGACTAGTCAAAATCAGAGACAGAAAGTAGAATGTTGGTTGCCAGGACTGAGGGAGGGGGTGAACGAGGAGTTATTTCTTTAATGGGTTCTGACTATCAATTTTACAAGATGTCAAGTATTAAGGAAATGAATGATGGTGAAAGTAGCACAATATTAGGAATGTATTTAATACTACTGAACAGTAATTTGTTAAGATGGTATATTTTATGTTATGTGTATTTTAGCACAATAAAAAAAATTTGGAAAAAGAATTTGTGGGATGCAGCTAATGCAGTACACAGAGGAAATGTTATAACACAAATATCTATCGATATTACAGAAGAAAGGTTTCAACTGAATAACTTCAGTTTCTATCTTAAGAACCTAAAAAGATAAGGGCAAATTAAATCTAAAGAAACCAGAAAAAGGAAATCAAGAGTAGAAGTCAGTGAAACAGGGAACAGAAAAATACAGAACGTCAATAAATCAGGAGCTAGCTCTTTAAGATAAATAAAATTGACAATATTCAAAGACAGACTATTAAGGAAAATAAATTTCCAATATCAGAGATGAGAAATGGAACATCACTACAGAATTTAAATATGAAAAAGAATATAAATGGGGCCGGCCACGTGGCGCGATGGTTAAGAACTGGCTTGGGACGCCAGAGAGCCCCGGTTCGGATGAAGGCTCCGAACATATGAAGGCCAGTGACACTGCCCTCTACAGCTAAGATGCTGAACAACAGCTCAACCTGGAGCTGGGCTGCCGTGAGTCGACGGCCTACGGCGTGGGCTGCAGTTCCTGTGGCAGTGGGCTGCCATGGGCTACCGTGTGTAGCCAGCAGCCAGCATGAGTGGCCAGCAGCCGCCGTGAGCGGCCGTCCAGAAGCTGGCAACTGATCTACCTCCCCCGGGAAGAGTGCAATGATGGTGCCAACTTGGGCCAGTGAAGCAACGTCCTCCACAACTAGACTGAAGAACAAAACAACAGCAACTTGTCTGTTCCAATTCCCCAGAGCTGTTCCCATCCCCCCCAATTCCCCAATAAAAATCTTTAAAAAAAAAAAGGAAAATAAATGAATCAACACTTGTATGCAAATAAATTCAACAACCTAGATGAAATGGACAAATTCCTTGAAACATACAAACTAAAAATAATGCTTAATCAAGAAGAAATGGTTACCTCCTTAGCCCTACATATCTTAAAAACTGAATTTGTACTTAAAAATCTTCCCTCAGAGAAAACTGAAGGCCGAGATTGCTTCACTGGAGAATTCTATAAAATGTATAAGGAAGAAATAATACCAATTCTTTACAAACACATCCAGAACACTGAAGAGAGGGAGCACTTCTGAGGAGGGCATACCCTGTCACCAAACCAGACCAAGGCATTGTAAGAAACAAACTGCGACCTTATGAGGTGGATACTATTAATCATTTCATTCTAGAAATGAAGAAATTGAGGGCTAAAGAGATTCGAAACTGGCCAAAGACCACAGAACTAAAATTGGGCAGGCAAGCAGACTTTAGAACATAGACTCCTAACCATAGCACTGTAACTGCTTCTCAAATTCAATTTAAATCCTAATTACTCTTGCAAAAGAAAAGTCAAGAGTGCTGCGCAATACTTACCTAGAGACTATGCTGGAACCATTATAGAGATCACTAGCATATGACAGTGTAGCCAAAGGTCGTACTGAATTATATCGAGTAAACTTGGACAAGCATTCCTGAAATTCATCCAACTGGCTTGTTGTTCGACTGTCATCTATATAAGGAAAACAGAATAAATGAATTGAATTGCAACATAAGTCAAAGGGAAATATCTACAAATTAAAAATTATTTTCTAAATATAAACAATTCATAAAAAGTATTTTAAAAAGACTCATATGCTCAAATTAATTAGCTGACATTTTAATTTTAATAAAAATTTCTTGGTGGTTCTTTGAAAGACACTGTCTCAACATCAATGAAAATATACTATATAGTCTCTTTTTTAAAAGCAGTAATTTCTTGGAAAAACAAAAACAGTGTCTGTAATCATGAGAAATTAAACCATCTATTAAAACAAAAATCCAACAATGAAGAAAGTGAGGGTGGAGAGAGTATATACTGGATATAGTATTTGTTAGTTTGAAGGAACATGTTTACAGGGACACATCTGCATGCCCATGTTTATTTACTGTCAAAACACAATTTATAATAATATAATTTAAACAAAAAAATTTTGTTTTTAAGTAAAAAGAAAACAAAATACTTATTCACATAATACTTTGAAGTGTTTCAAATCCAGTTACAAGAAGGGAATAGAAACTGCAATCTATAAATTATTAATTCTCAAAAACAAACAATGTTAATTCCACTCAAATGTCTGGGTAGAATATGGAAAATAATAATTCCATCCAGTAGGACACTGTACACTTTGAGTAAAGTCCATTTCAGTAAACTATTCATAACTAAATCATGTGGAATTTAAATCTCAAAATCAAGTTATGAAGGACCTGAGAATACAGCTAATCTATTCTCCAATCTAGAAAAAGGCCTACAGTAAAAGCATGAATAAAAAAATCATTTTTTCAAAACTGCTTAAAGTTTGGACTTGTATTTTCCTTTTCAAAGAATGAAAACACAATTACTTTAGTTAGCTTCCTAGACTGAAATGTGAACTAAGCCTGCTACAACACTATTTTCATACATTCTTCCTTATTCTAAGTACCATGTAGTATATTACACATAGTAAAAAATTTATTTTTTTTCTGGAGAAAATTAGGTTATTTTGAAGAAAATTGTTGACATGAAGAAATTTATCTAACAATTATTATAAAGAAACACAATTGCTTGAAGAAACTAAGTAAGCGTTTGTCCCTGATATTTTTCATTTTAAAGATTTAAACACTAACTTAGCAAATTCATCTAACAACCTATATTAAAAGGGTCCAATTTTGTAATACTTCCATTCTAAAAACAGCAAAAGTAACAAACCTAATTAGTATGCAATATCATAATGTTATTGAGATAAAGCTCCTGTTGCATATAAATTTTCAGGAAATCTTACAAATTATAAATAAAACATAGGTTATTGAAAAAACTTAACTATACTACGAAGTGGTTTGGTTGTAACAGTTACTCGATTCCCAAAAAAAAAAAATTAACTGTATTACCAAGTGGCTTGGATGTAACAGTTAATTGATTATTTTTATATACAATCCTACTACTGTAAGCCATGTAATGTAATAAATACTTATTGAAAAGGCAGTTATTTTAGATATTCTATAAAAATTGTTTTAATGATAATCTACTCTTTCACATTTTTACTTCCATCCCCAAGTACATAAAATTCACAAGCATTCAGGAATGTGTATTCTGTTGAAGATCATAATTCTTTTCTAGGGTAACTGAACTTCTGGACATCTTACCACCACTCATTAACACCTACTTTCAATAGAAGTTATGAAGAAAGCACAAAAAACAGTTATTTCACTCTCAGAAAGGATCAGAATTAGATTTCACTTATCTGATTATGAAAAGGTAAGATTTTGTTTGCTTGGTTGGTTTATGATCTACAGTCATATGTATCTGCTGGCATATCACCTTTCCTGCTCTAATTACAGATTAGTTTGTAAAAGTGTATTCAGTGTCTTTTTCCTATCTTCTAATGCTTTATAATTTACTCCTCTTTCAATTACAATTAAGAGTCCAAGGCATTCATTTCTTAATCTTCATCTTTTGGTTTCACAGTTGAAAATAAACTTGGGGAAGGATGGGGTGGGATGGAATCTCATTCAGCAACAGAATTACTGTAGTCAACGTGCACATATGATAAGCCTGAAAGTCCTAAAAACTAAGGACAACATGTATTAAGTACAATATAGCCGTGCCCTCAAAAATAAAAATCTTATCTTCCTGGTCTTGTTATTCTACTTTCCTGTAAAGCTACATCCCACAAATAAATTAATTGGTTTGTGATTACCTTTACTACTCTATAGCATGCGTATGCTGCTGGTTACTGAAAAATCATTAATAACAATAGCCTATCACAATCTCTCTTTCTAATCTTTTTTTTTTTCTTCTTTTTTTGTTAATGTTTGCCACTTGCCTGTGGTTGTATTTCAACATTGTACCAACACATAGCATCTGAGAGGGCTAACACGCACCCTCTGTCAATCAGAATGTAGGTCTCAGACCACTTTCGATTTAACAGCTTCCTACTGTAGTTTACAGGTTATTACAGAGGCTTATAAGAAAGATGGATTCCCAGGCAATGAAATGAAAGCATTCCATCTGTATAATAACCTGTTGATTAATTTCAAATACACTTATCAGCAAAACTTGGCTTTCTCCTAGTCTTCATAGAAAAAATTCTATGTAACCCTAACATGTATTTTTTCTCCACCACCAATCCTGAGGCAGATTTGTTCAAAGGATCTAAGCAATGTGTAGATTATAATACAAACATGCCTATTCAAGAGGAAACCAAGCCCTAAATTTTAACAATATCAGACATTTTTTCCATTGATGGCCCTCATTTTGAGCACGTGTACTACTAATGACATGAACTGACTGAGCACCCAACTTACACTAAGCATTGTAAATTACATGCATCACCTAAAAACTTAAAAAAAAAAAACTAACTAAAAGGAAACCCTAAAAACAAACGAACAACAAAGAAACGTCTACAGTTGTTATCAGTGTCCCAACTTCATTGGTAAGCAAAGATGCTGAGAAACGCTAAAGATCAGTGGGCTAACAAAAAGAAAAAAAAAAATGTCCTATACTCTCCCATCCATGTCTGTACATAAGTTATTTCCTCCAACCATGTTTCTACTTAACTTTTTTAGTTAATACTACACTTGATTAAACACAACTCTTCTGAATTCCCTCAGTGATAATTCCCTCTTACATGTCCAAGTTTCAACCTGGCCTGGCTTTTTCAATCCCAGCTATTAGTCAATGTTCTCCTTTATTCTTATAATCCCCTTAGCGTAATTATATAACATACAATATCACATAGAATCATTTACCTGTGGCTGTCTCCCACTAAATTTATAATACTCATTGACAATAAGAACCAGTTCTTACATCTTTTTATTCTTAGCACAGAGGACAGTGCTTAAAACTTGGTAAATGTTGAACAGAAGGCAAATGAATGGAGCTTAATTTTGCTAGCTACATATTCATGGCTGATTTTTTTTTACTTTAGATAGCTCACTATATAAAGATAAAAAATTCTCCAATACAAAATGAACAAAAACCGCTATGGGGAAGCGATGTTCTGAGATCTCTAAGAACCTCCACAGTGCTTGGTGGACTATGCCGAAACACACACACTTGCTTTACGAATAGGACTTTCCATAAATCCAGCAGAAGCAGCTAGAAATGGATCTGAAATACAAATGTGAGATGTTTTGAGAAGTCCTGAATATGTACCTGAGATACGAGACATCCTTGTAGAAAAGTAACATTGCTCTAAGTCTTCAAAATGAGCAGTGAGTCGTTTCCGTCTTGATGCTAATGTGCTGTTATACCAAGGTTGTTTCTTTGTCTAAGGTGATAACAAAAAAAGATACTTATAACTCAGAACAAACCATACTCAGAATATCCAAACGCTTGCATGTCTAATTGCAAAAGTTCATCCTATTAACATAATTACAAATGGTAAAAACCCATAGTTCTTACACCACACTTTCCAGTTTTTGTTTTAAAGTGAAAATAGGCTCTAAAGGCCAATTCTACAAGAATAAAATGAGAAGGTTCTTTCAACTCTCCAAAGAAAATGAAGATAGAATCCATCATAACTGCCATTCTAAAATTCAGAATTTTAATATGTAGAAATTGTTAGAAAACAATTATCAAAAGAAAACTACATTTTCCTTCCATTTTGAAAGTGGGGATGGGAGACCAAGAAAGGGAAGATGAATATATATCTAAGTCACTACTCAGGAACTTTTATGCAGGTGCAAGAAACATGTCAAAGTAGCCACAAGGTTGTTTAATAGGAGAAGGACAAATGTAACTCCACATTTACTGCTAGAAACCAAAGCTCTGTGTGAAATCTTGAATTTATAGGGAGGGAGGAAAGAAATGCATGTACCTGTCTGTTCTTTTCCTAATCCCTTCCCCTCGTTTCTAAACTGCAGGAGACTGAGCCCCCTTGGGCTCTGGTGACCCCCACCACTGGGGACTTTTTATTTGATGGTTGATTTGGCTGTGCTAGGTAGTTCCATTTGCTATCATTTTTGTAACATACATGCTGAACCTTTCCTTTCCTTTCTTTTCTCAAAATAAAAAAAAAACACACCTTTTCCATCATCCCTATATTGTTGTCTTGTACCTTTTGAAAAACAAGAATGGTTTTTGACTGTACAAAATATGTATTTAAGTTAAAATTGATTTTTAGATTAAGGGGTAGTAATATGTATGCACTAAATAGTCTGATTTACACTTTAGAAGATCAGAATTATTAAATCAGATATATATGTATAGACAAAGACAACAAACCTGAACTACATTGGCAAATCAATCATAAAAAAAATTAAAATACCATAAAAAACCCAGAAAACCACCCCAAACCAAAAAACAAACAAAAAATACACAAAATACAGTTGACTCTTGAAAAACATACGTTTGAACTGCGTGAGTCTACTTATACACAGAATATTTTCAGTAAATACTGTAAATGTACTTTCCTTATGATTTTCTTAATAACATTTTTTTCTAGCTTACTTTATTGTAAAAATACAGTATATTATACATACAACATATAAAATATGTGTGCCCCCATGTTATTCAAGGGTTAACTGTACATAATATTACCTATATATCACGCTAATTGAAAGGATAAAACAATTTTTCCACAAATGATTATCTATTATGCTTGACACATATAAATAGATACAGAGATAAGACACATAATGAGATCTTGAGATGGCACAAGTTCACCAATAACTACACCACAAATGTATTGTCAAAAATATTAAGGCACTACCACGAATGAAACACTAAAGGAAACCCCTGCTAAAACTAGATGGTAGGTAACAATCATATTTTAAAGCAGTGCTTGGATCAGAAGAAAGTAATACAATTTCCAAAGACAACAGATAAAAAACTAAACAGGAAGGCGAACTCAGAGGTGATGGTAGACATAATACAAGGGCGCAGACAAGAGGAAAGAGGATGAGGACAATACCTACAGAAGAACAGCTGCTAGCACTGAGACCTGGAGACTGAAAAGGGAATTTGCAAGCTGGAAGATGAATCAGAAAGAACTACCCAGAATAAAAATTAAAAGTCAAGAAGACAGAAAATTAGAAAGAAGAGGATAAGAGACATAAAAGATAGAATAAGACTTAAATACTTGGAGACCCAGAGAGCAAAACAGACTGAAGAATATTTAAAAAATTGATGTTGACAATTTTCCAGAACTGAATACACAGAAATTCTGTTGAAGATCATAATCCATAAATAACATATAAGAAACAAATTATTCATATCCTGAATACAATATATATATATTTTTTAAGCTGAGCCATCCTGCCACCTGTTGGTCACCCAGCGGCAGCTCAGCTCAGGCTGAGAATCAAACCAGTAACCCTGTTTTCTAAAAAGGATTTAGCTCCATGGAGAAACAGAAATGACTTCATAGTCTGAAATTTGAGAATGATTACAATAACAAATATCGGAAGATGACATACAAAACAAACAAGAAGTAGTCAAAAACACGGCTTGTTTTCGCTTTCAGATTTTATAGCAAATTTCCCCTTAACAATTATTTTGCTAATATTTATTCTAAGCTTTTCTTGTATTTATTTATTCAGTGTAATTCCTTTTTAATCCGTTTAGAACTAGGCTGCCTCATAACTGTTGGTAAATACGTATCACTTGGCTCATTGCCATACACTTCCATTATTAAATTAACAAATAACATTAATATAAATGAACAGAAATATGCTAACTGTGAAGTGATAAGTGTTTTGAGAATATAAATTGGTTGTAGATAACCCACAAGGCCAACTGGACGCAACATAAACTCAGGGTAAGCTCTATAACTTATAGGTAGGATATAAATACGGCTAGAAATCAAAAGGAAAGCTTCATCATTTGTTTATCTAGATTAGCTCTAAAGAAAAATGGCCATACTTACCAAACTGAAAAATAATTAAATTTCACCACAGCAAAAACAGAAGTATGTAAATATCTTATTGGGTAACTGAGGAAGTAAAAAACTCATATAATGTTAAAAAGTGTATAACATACTATAAAGGTAACAGAGCAAATTAAGCTTGAGAGTTATACAAAATGATCATGTAGTGTTAGCCTGTAAATTACGAAAAATCTTTATAAAATAACAAAAAATTGATTCTCAATGGAATTAAATTGAAAATAAAAAAAGAAGCACTCAGAACTAAATACTTCATTTCACATACTTAAATGACCAAGAATACAAAAGCAATGCCATCATCAAACAATAAATGAAATCCATGTTTATACAATGAAAGAAATAACTGTTACCATAGCACAGCGCCCTATCAATTCCACTAAGAGAGCCCTACTCTAAATGAAGCTGAAAGTGTGCTGTATGGTTAACTGAAATTTACCAATTTTTTAATATATAAATACCCACTTCCTTCCAAACTAATTTCATAAATGAAACAATGCAGAATTAAAACTTAACTATTTACACAGTAAGTAATCATTATAGGATCAAGGACCAAGTGCAAAATAATAAAACAAATTAACTGTTAAACATACATTTTCATAAAAACAGATTAATGAATGGTATTAAAGGGAAAGCTGAATAATTTAGAACAGTGATTCTCAAAGCATCAAAGCATGGTCCCCAAAGTGTGGTCCTTAGGCACTTGTCTCTCAGACCCTTGCAGGATATCTGTGAGATCAAAAGTATGTTTATAAATATAGTAAGAGGTTATATATGCTGTTTTCATTGTCCTTCTGTATGTACATGTGATGTAAAAGCAAAGTCTGTATAAAATTGCTGGACTCTGAGCACAAATCAAGGAAATGGCACCAAGACCACTGGTAAACATTATATTCTTCACCATTACTTGTAATAATAATAATAATAATAATAATAATAATAATAATAATAATAAAAAATACATTTTATAAAAGTTAGTTTCCCTCAAGAATACTCTTGGTACTTTTTAAAAAAAAATTGAGGTATAATTGACATAAAATTATATTAGTTTTAGGTGTGTAACACAATGATTCAATATTTGTATATATTGTGAAATGAGGACCACAATAACTAGTTAACATCTGTCATCATACAGTTATAAATTTTTTTTTCTTGTGATGAGTCTTTAGGTCTACCCTCTTAGCAACTTTCAAATATGCAATTCAATGTTATTAACTATAGTTACCATGCTGTGCATTACATCCCCACAACTTACTTGTAACTGGAAGTTTGTACCTTTTGATCCCCTTCACCCATTTTGCCCACCTGGCAACTCACGCCTCTGGCAACCACCAATCTATTGGGTTGTCGGAAAAGTCATGACGTACTTTCTATAAGTTTTGTTGCAAAAATGCATCATGACTTTTCTGACAACCCAATATTATCTGGGGTTTTTTTGTGTTGTTTTTAGGATTCCACATATACATGCGATTTTACAGTTATTTCATTGTCCAACTTGTTTCACTTAGCATAATGACCTCAAGGTCCATCCATGATGCAAGTGTTAAGATTTTCTTTCTTATGCTGAATTATTAATATGCCTCTGTGTGTGTGTGTGTGTGTGTGTGTGTGTATACACACTACATCTTCTGTATCCATGTGCTTTTAGTGTCAAATACAAAAAATCATCACCAAGACCAATGTCAAGGAACTTATTAACTATGTTTTGTTCTGGGAGTTTTATGGTTTCAGGTCTTAAATTCAAGTCTTTAATCCGTTTTGAGTTAATTTTCGAGTATGGTGTAAGATAGTGGTCCAGTTCATTCTTATGCATGTGGCCAGTTTTCCCACACCAGTTACTAAAGAGATTGTCCTTCCTCCATTGCATATCCTTGGCTCCTCTGTCATAAATTAATTAACCATATATGTGTGGGTTCAATTCTGGACTCAATTCTGTTCTATTGATCGATGTGTCTGTTTTTATACCAATATCACATTGTTCTGATTACTGTAGCTTTGTAATGTAGTTTGAAATCAGGAAGCGTGATGCCTCCATCTTTGTTATTCTTTCTCAAGAATGCTTTGGCTATTTTATTTCACTTCACTTGGAACTTTCATTAAAAATATGAAACTTATATAAAAAGCTTTTTTGTATTTAATTTTGAAGCATTAAAACAACTACCTATTATCAGGCTTATGATACCTTTCCTAGTTTGGGTTTAAAATTTTGCTTATGGCGCTTTCTTATATATAAGCTTCTTTCTTAATTTCCATAGTTATATTATTATTGAAACCATTATATAGCTGATCTGGACTCTTACTATACATGATAAAATAGAGAGCTAAATTTCCTATAAATGGTTTCCTGGTATCACAACACCATTTATACTAATCTCCCCTTTCACCATTGATCTGCATGGACTACCTTCATCACAAGCTAAACTCTTAGCTTCCAGTTGGCTTTTAAGTTTTTATTGTGGTCCTTTTGTTATAGCAGCCTTAGAATACATTTTAATAACTTATTGGGTAAATGTCATTGTAGTTATTATACCTCTGAATCATTCATTCTACCAATGAATTAAAGTCAGTTTGGTCATACTCTCTGCAATCCCTTAAAAAATATTCATGAGGCTTTTTACTGGAATTGCATTAAATTAATAGTTATGATACTTGGTCTACTTAAATTGTTCTACAATTGTTTTAATCTATTTAATATTTTATTTTTTCTTGAAAATCATAAATTTCATTAAGACTGTCATTTTTATGTCTGCATCAGCAACGAAATTATTTTAATCTGCTCCATATAATAGCCAATTTCAATTGTATATTAAAATGTTTTAATATACATAAGTCTTTCCCAGCTTCTTGAGTTGAATGCCTAGTTCACTTACTTTCATTCTTATAATCCATTTAATGATATAAATTCTTGAGAACAATTCTGAGAAATTTCATAAATTTTGAAATGCAATATTTTCACTGCATTATTTTTTAATTGTTTGTAGCAGCATCTAGAACTATTCTTTGATACAAAGGTATTCAGAAGAGTCTTTAGTTTGCTCTCATCCATGTTACCTGTGTCTAAATATTTATTTGGGGTTCTGATATAGAGAATGTAGTCAATCCATTTTTCTAAATGCTCCAGGACTAGTGTCAATTATGTATACCCTTTGATGCAAAGTATAAAGTAAGGCAAGTACTATTAAACCAAGTTTAACTGATCTCATTCAATGAAAAACCTTAAGTCTTTCTAATGGCGTAAGAAAGTCGTGCACCAAGTAGCCTGTTAGATTTTTACCTCATTTCTACTTTTCTCCCCCTTGCTCACTCCTCTCCAGCCACACTGGACTTCTGGACTAGGTCAGGCATGCTCCTACCTCAGGGCTTCTTCACTCGTTATCCCTCTGCCTAGAACTTCTTCCCAGAAATAATACTCTCGGCTTGCTCCCTCACCTCTTTATTTAAAGGTAATCTATTTTTATTATTGTTAGTAACTCTCCACCTAGACTGAAAGCTTCATTACAGCAGGGGTTATTGTCTTTCCCCTCTCCCCCCCATAATGTATCCCCAAAGTCTAAAATAGTGCCTGGTAAATAGTGGGTACTCAAAAAAACCTGCTGGTTGGATAAATGAGTATTTAAAAGCACAGGTTTTATTACCTTGGGCAACCTCTTTAACTTCTCTGTGCCCCAGTTTACTTCTCAATAAAATAAAAAATAACAGTAATAGTACTTATGTCATAGTGAGTTCTAACAATTAAATAATACATGTAAAGTACTTTGAGCAGTGTCAATGAATAGCAAGTACAAAATAAATGTTACCTAACTGCTATTATTACTACTTTAATTACTTCTTGAGTTATATTTTAAAATCTCCCACCATGTTTAAGTCTCAATTTTTTAAACATTTCTAACAGTTTTACTTTATATAAATTCCAATGCTTACACTCAAATCTTGTTTTCATGGCTGTTCAGAAATACATACAAACAAATCTATGAACTTACTATAAAAAAATAGGCCAAAAAAAAAGATATACACAAATCTATGAACTTACTATTAAAAAAGAATAGGCCAAATACATGCATACCTACAAAAATAAGATAAGAACTGCAGAGTAGTTACACAAACTAACTATAAAGGTAATAGAAGTAGTCATCTAAGTAGTGGGAAAAGTACAAACAAAAGCTGTGTCATCCAAAAGAACTGTCTTTTCACTGTGATGAAAATAACTGCACTATCACATTAAGTGAATATACAAATGAACATGCATTAAAAAATGCCTCATTTTTCTCCTTTTGCTATAAAGGACAATATTATGGCAATTTGTAAAATATGAATAAGGTGTAGGAATTAGATAATACTGCTATAACAATGTTAATTACTTGAATTTTAAAATTAGGTTGTGATTACGTAAGATAATATTAGCCTTGTTTTGAAGGAAACACACACTGAAGTAAGTAGAGGTAAAGCAGCGGTTCTCAACCTTCCTAATGCCGCTACCCCTTAATACAGTTCCTCATGTTGTGGTGACCCCCAACCATAAAATTATTTTTGTTGCTACTCTATAACTGTAATTTTGCTACTGTTATGAATCGTCATGTAAATAACTTTGTTTTCTTATGGTCTTAAGCGACCCCTGTGAAAGGGTCGTTTGACCCCCAAAAGGGGTCGCGACCCACAGGTTGAGAACCACTGAAAAGGAACATAATGTCTTTACCTTATTCAAATAATTCAGACAAAAAATTACATGTGTGTATATATAAAAGAGAGACAGAATTAGAATGATAAAGCAAATGTGATCAAATGTTAACATTTGGACAATCTGGATAAAGGATATCTCCAAATCACAGATAAAGAGAGTAAAAGTCAAAATAAACATACAATTAATTAGATGAGAGGTGAAGCTAGAATCTATTTTACTCAAACCTGTAGTTTACTTTTCACAGAAAAGCTTAACATTTCAACATAATCATGAGTAAGTCATCAACAGATTATAACTTTCTTATCCCTGAGATAAACAGTGCACTGATTTTCATAATTTCCTTACAGTATTTCCTTCCTTTCAAGATATGATGTTACCGTTACCAGTATGTTAAAAAAAATTTTTTTCAACTCATCATTGATGAGCAAATAAATACCTGATGATGCATCAGAGCTATTCGAGTCCTAATCAATGCCATTGCATTCAAAACAGCTGTCATTATGACAGGTCATTCCATAATTTTACAACTCAGATGCTTATATTCATGGTACTAAAACATACTATTAACTTTATCATTTACCTGAGAGCTGCCACTGAAACCTGGAGGTTGGCTGTATTCTGTGGAATCAATAATACTACTGAAAAATGAAGAGAGAAAAATGGGATTTCAGCGTTTACATTATTTTAGCAACAGGAAAAGCAAATCTAAAATACACCATAGATAAATCCAATGTTTCTAATTTCTAAGCAAAAAAATATTTATTGCCAATAATTAGACATCAAATGAATGCATAACCCATAAACAAAAAAATCATCAAATATTTAAACACCATGAAAGAATGTCAGTAGAAAAATAATCACAAGACAGGTGTATACACAGATGTATTTGCTTCAGGTTCATTTTCAGATAGGTTAATAAGTTGCCTGGAACCCTATTTGGGGAAAAGAGTGTAAACATGCAATTAAAAGCTATGGTTAACAGATCCACTATGCACTAAAGAGCTATGTGCCTTTGGACAAGTACCTTAAAACCACTCCGTTTCCTATCTGCAAAGTGAGATGAGTGGGGCCTAGCTTATGTCTAGATTATCTAGAGTCCCTTCCAGCTCCAAAATGTTATAGATAGCGATAATCATCTCATGCAAAAGAAAACTATCAATGGAATGGAATAAACACTAAAATACCAATAATCTTTCTTTCATAATCCAAAACCTATATATCAGTTTCCTCTGCCCTGATCAAACATAATTTGCTTTCTGTATTGGTTCTTTTTATTTGGTTATATTTATGCTCTGTACACATTCTTCTTCTTAACCCTAGAAAAACCTCTAGAAGTCCAGACTATCTTTTTCTTCCTATTAGTTCTATCTTATCACTTCATCACTCCTATCTCCTTTCCATTTTTAAATAAAAAAAATTGGCCTATGAAGACTATTAACATCTGAAAATGGCATAACATGATAAACCAACAGTTATTTACATTTTGTAAAACTCTTTTCCCCTATTTCTACTATAAAAATGTTTATATTCTTGTCTACCCTAATAAAGTCAAGCAATTGAGGGTACTAATTAAAATGATTCTCTCTACAAAAATACAGATAATCATTATTTTACTTTAGTACCCAAATAACCTCAGAGGTTATAACATAAAAGGCATTCTTAAACGCACAGAGTGGGTTTGAATTTCACCCCTTAGCAGCTAAATGACTGGGCAAGTTACCAATATTATTTGGCCTCTAGTTTCCCCATCTATTAAATGAGAAAGACACGTCAGAGAGGTATGAGATTTAAATTAGTGTGTGAAGTTCTCAGTACAATGCCAAAAAATGGTAGAAGTTCAATAAATTTTTACCCTGTATTAATAAAACTAATCAATAACATTCAACCTCAGGTTTTCAAAAATATAATAAATCTGATGGAATTGTCCTCAAATAGTCTTAAGAAAGTAACACCTATCAACAGATCTTAATTCACTGTATTCTTGACTGTTTCAATAGTAAGGTTCAGTTATAGAAGAAAGGGCCTTCTAAGCACTTGCACTGCAAATTAAAGAATTAGCACACTCTTATAATGGGTTTCTCTGATGAAATATAACCGATGCTCACCTCCCTTGCACAGAGTCATATACTGGTATGTATGACAAAATCACATGCTGTTCTCAGTAACTCCATCCAGGGACTAATGGGGCTATAAATGAGGAAATGCCACGCATTCAAAAATCTCTGCTACTTTTACTAATAAAACTTAATCCCCTAGCATCTGTATAAACATTAATAAAATTATGTAGCTGCATATTTAGAGGTCAATAGAACAGATCAATTTGTAGATATGATTTTTATGCTGTTATAATTCAGATTTTTTTTACTACAAGCCTTAGAAATGATATTTATATATTAGTGTGTATAATGAAATAACATTTCAAATACATGGTAAGAAATACTCATCAATTTGCTGAAGATATTGAAATTACAAGCTTTAATTGGTATTTTACTAGTATTATCTGCAGAGTTCGAAATTTATTTTATATCAGACTTTAATCTTATTTACTAAGAAACATTTATTAATACACACAGGACTGTAACAGAAGAAATCTGAAAAATAAACCTCTCTAATTCAGCCTTTTAAGTGTCTCTGTGTGTGTGTGTGTGTGTGTGTGTGTGTGTGTGAGNGAGAGAGAGAGAGAGAGAGAGAGAGAGAGAGAGAGAGAGAGAAGTAACATGATTAGAAAAGTACTGACTGAGCTGGGTCCTCTTGACTTTGTAGCTGGGTGTCACACTAACTTCTTAGCTCTGACTTATCCATAATCACCAAATGGTAATAACTACAATAATAGCAATAGCTATGATTTATTAACCATTTATTATGCACTAGACACTGACCTAAATAATTTAAACCTCATAACTCTAAGGTAGATACTATTTCCATTCCCATTTCTCAAATGAGGAAACTCAGGCACTGAGAGGTAATATACTCGTATTTGGTCCAAGGTAGCAGCTAATAAACAGCAGAGTTAGGATTCAAACCCATGTAGTCAGGTTCCAGAGCCTACACTGAACCACTATGCTAGACATAATTTAAGGAAAAAAGTGAAAAAAGAGCATTCTATAAATATAAAAGAATCATTAACTATTTCAAACAGAAGTCAATAAAGTTATAAAAACTTAATAAGGATATCAAAAAATGACAAGGGAAAGAAGAAAATTTCAAGGTAGTAACTATAACTGAGTGAGGAATACTATACTTAAATCAAAATGGAGAAAATAAAGTGATAAGAAAATTCCTCATGTACTTGCTGTTGACAATGAGAAGCTTAGCTAAAGACATAAATAAAAACTATGCAGCTGTCAACCCAAGTTACATTCAGTTATGCAACTAGATGTCACATACCACCCTTCCTAAAATGATTTGTTTCCAGGAGCAAAGATATATACTTCATAATTAACCCTCTGTCGGGCGCAACTGATCTCACGGATTCATTGCACACAAATATGAAATACGTCTTTATTGTGCTAAGTCACAAACACGACTGGCGACAGGTTACAGGAGAGGGAGAGGATACGGAAGCAATGAGTGATGATATTTAACTGTTAGATATTTGAAAATTTGTATGCAATGAATCTGTGAGATCAGTTGCACAATGGAGGGTTAAAAGACAGACTTACGTAAATTTCATATATAAGCTCTACCTATAATGGTAGATAATTGAGAGAAAGCAGTAGTTCATTCTTGGTAAAGATAATAGGTGACTAAGTTTATACTGGACTTTTATTTGAAAAAGGATGATTCACATTTAAATTATTGACACACATTAATCAAATTATAGAGAATATTTTAAGTTGTGAGCAAAATAAAGCATACTGAGATCATTTAAGACTGAACATAAAGAAAATATAAGGTTTTTAAATAAATAAAAGAATTGAATGGACCAAAAGAAAACTTCTGTGTACACATAAAATTAGACTAACTGCTGTCATGATTTGTTTTTTTTCCATTCGTATGAATGTAAGACAGGGAAAAATAAACTACATTTAATTAATGATACGGGGCTGTAGCCAAAAGTTGTTGCTTTCCAGTATTCTACATAAAATTATTGAACCAGTTCCCCAAAACAAAACATACTAACATGTAACCTGACAATAATCTGACTTATAAATTTTAATGATTAAAACCAAATATAGTTTTAATTTTTTAAAACAGTAAATTTTGTCACTATTTTATTCCCTTTCTACCGAAGCAATAATCCTTAGTTACAATATTATAAAGAGATCAAAGTTAAATTGACTTGTTTTCTCAAAATATTGCTTTTCTGTCAGTTTCTTTACATGGAACTTTTTCTCTGCTACAACAGCGTATCAAATACCTTCTTTACATAACCAATTGAAGTACTGAATTTCAAATTAATGGTAAATCCCATTTACTTAAATTAACCAAAATTCTTGTGGTCCTAATTTTGCAGACACCTTAAGAGATACTAGAAATCAGTCTTCGTGTTCGATTTTTCCTTTCTAATTTCACATACCCTTTAACATTTGACACAACTATTCAAACAAACCATCCAAAATCAATGTGACTAATCTATCTACTAACAACAGCAGCAAACATCTATTCAATGCGTACTATGTGCCAGGCATTATTCTCCTTTTTTTAAATGTACTACTACATTTATCAGTCAAGACAGGTATTATTATCCTTACTTTACAAATGAGAACATTGAGCTGTACAGAAGCTAGTAAGCTCGCCTAAGATCAAACTGCTAAGTTGTGGCAATACAACTCTAGATCCTTATGTAAGACTGCCAAAGTGACATGTTTTCTCTTCTTGAAGAATCATTGTCCTGCCATTTTTGAACTGAATATTCCTATTTATCTTCCTTTCAATGTGTTATTTTCAACTCTGAAAATTTCCAAAATTCTTTCACCTTCCAAGGCTCTAGAGCAGCGGTTCTCAACCTTTCACAGGGGTCGCCTAAGACCATCGGAAAACATATATTTTCGATGGTCTTAGGAACCGAGACACCGCTCCTCTATCTGTCTCCAGGCCCACATGCAGATACGCCCACATACGAGTACCCGGCGACCCCTGTGAAAGGGTCGTTCGACCCCCAGAGGGGTCGTGACCCACAGGTTGAGAACCGCTGCTCTAGAGTAAGGATGCCTGCGTTAGAATACTGGTTATGCACTAACTGTATAATGCTGGGCAAATTACTTCATCTGTAGGACTCAATTCCTCATCTGTAAAATAAAATGGATTAAACAAAAAACAAAAAAAGCACCTATTACACAGCATTTGTTCTGAGGGTTATACGAAATAATACGTGTAAATAACAAAACAGCATCTAATACACAGATGCTATGTTACTCTGGCAGTTACAACTTTTGCAAATAAATACAACTCTCCTCTAGACTTAATTTTAACTTTTCTGGCTCTCCCGTACCCAGGAACTTGATTTGAGCCATTCTGAAGATATTACAAAAGGATATGCAACTTTATAGTGAAGTGAGTAATATATATATATATATTTTTAGCTGAGCCATCCTGCCACCTGTTGGCAGCTCAGCAGCATCTCAGCTCGGGCCGGGACTCGAACGGCTGTTGCTCAGAGCTCACACTCTTGAGCGAGCTCTTAACCAAATGAGCCACTTAGCCAGCCCAGAAGTGAGTAATATAAATAGAAATCTTTACTCCCATCCTCCCCAAAAGATGAAATAAGCTAGTTATAAAACTTTAGTGTTGCGTATCTGAGCTTTCTTTTATGAAAAAAAAAGTAAGCATATCTTATTTAGAGATTTATTTAAAAACACGTTAGTAATACAGACATACTTACTATCTACAATACCAGTATTGACATATTTTTAAAGCCTGCATTTGAATCTCAGACCTCAGACCTAATGATCAGATTTGGGGAAAGGGTTCAAAAATTTGCATTTTAAATAAGTCTTGATTGAACCTCACACATTGAAATTTGGCCTATTCACACCTCACATTTCAGAACTGGAACAGATTATCAATAGCTTAACCATGCAGTGACAGTTACAGTTTATAACAAGAACCCAAAGGTGTTTTTTTAAATTGCTGGAATGCCTACTAATCAAAATAATTACTAACGTTTTAGAGCTAAATGCATTTTGATTATTTTAACTCTTGGAACTGAAAGTCTATTTACACCATATTTTAAGTAGAATAATTAATTTGCCAGATTAATTTATCTTCCATCCTAAGGCTGTGTAACTATGATAGCAGAATTCTAGGGTCTGTCATACTCAAAACTATATTCTCAGTGCCTAAAACAGTGTTTTATACATGCCTGATACACCCCTAAAAACTGGTTGAGTGACTGAAGAATAAATTCTTCAAATATTATAAGTAAAAGAAATTGCACTGTTTCAAAAAAGGTTTTCATCACTTGCTACATTTCTATTACCTATCAATTTAATAAAAAATTACAGATGTATGAAGAGTCCCTCTATTATTGCTATAAAAGTTTGATTTCTGTGTTTCTCCTTGTTTTAGTTCAAGTTAAAAATTCTGGAAGATTCTTCAATATCCTTCATCGCCTATAACACCAAGTTCAACTCCTTTGCATGGTACAGGGTCAGAGTTAAAGCAGGTAACCCTTGTACTCCCAACAATAAAACAATCAACTGGTTTTACTACTTCTCCCACACAATAAACCATTAAAATACAAAAAAACATCATTTATGTTCAGAAGTCCTCCGTGAAGGTGTAGCAGATATTTCTTAAGATATGTCTGTAATCACCTAACCTTGGAGAGAAGCTACTTAAGAGATGAATCTAGGAAAAGTTTCTAGGCAAAAGCAACAGTATATATACAGGTACACTAACATCTTGTTTTGGGAGTTAAATTCAATTCTAAAGAACAAAAATAACAGGCAGGGTACAGGTGATTACGGAAGACCATGCAAAAGAGCTGGGTCTAAATCAATTTACATACAATAGAAAGCTACTGAAGGATTTTAAGCAGAAAACAAACATGATCAGATTTCTAGCAACACACTATAAGAGGACAGTTAAAAGGTCACTGCTAGACTCCATGTGATACTGAGTCTAAACAAAGCAGCAGGAAAAGAATAGACAGAATATGACAATTACAGCTAATCATGGTATATAGAAGACAAAATCCCATAGTGGGAGGATACCATTATTTGTCTTTTGTTTTTCTTTTCATTTAAACACATAATCTAATCATAAACCCTGAATCTCTGTGAGGGATTCAATGACTTGACATATAAAGGTCTTCCTTATAGCAAAAAAATACACAAACCTACAAAAAGGCTTTTAAAAAAGTAAACCTGCTTAAAAGAGAAACCAAAACATCACAATGAAGAATAAAAACAAAAACTATCTGGCATTTAAATAATAAAGCTAATAATTATGAAGAAAGTTATTATAATTGCAACTATATGCTATTTCTTAAAAATAAAGAAAAATCAAATATAATAGTATAACATAACATTCTTCCCAGCATGTTCAATTTCACACCTTAATTTTCAGGGTCATTTTCCAATAGTACTTAAGGGCTACATAATTTTTTCCAAGTGTCTCTCTTAAACCTTGAGGGATATTCAAATTCCTTGTTTTAAGAAAACATCAAAAACACTCTTTTGAAGAAAATATCATGTTTACCTATTTTCCCTTCTTCAGCTGTTAAGAAGTTGCAAGTCTGCTAGAATCTCATTTAACAATAGCTTTGCATACTACATTTTAGCAATTCTCCAACAATGTTTTCATAGACTTCATGACATCCTGTAGCTTTTTCAAGATGTGTTACTTTATTTTATAATACAACCACTTCTCATCTCTTCCACCAATAAAGCCCAAATCCAAGCCATCATCTCCTCTCCTCTGGACTGCTGCAATGCTTTCTAACTTTCCTCCGGCTTCTGATGGCAAGGGGTTGAAAGGCACACAGATAAGACTCTTCTCTGTCCCATGCATGGAAACCCCAGGAAACATTTTAAAATCTAAATTAGATCCTGCTTAAAACTCTCCCATGACTTTCAATCGTATTTATACTTCATTCACATGCCAGCTTAAATGTCACCTCCTAGGAGAAGCCTGCCTATCCAAACTAAAATAGAGTCCTCTGCAAACTCCTAGTATGTCTTGTATTTTTTCCTCAGGCACTATTACTTGTCATGTACTACTACATTATAAATTTGCTTATTTAGTATCTCCCCCAACCTCCACACATATACCCCCCGGAACATAAGTTCCATCAGGGCAGGGGCTTGGCCAGCTAGATTCAATTCAACATTGAGAACAGTGTCTAGCACATCAGAGGCATTCAATAAACAGAGCCAATTACATGAATATAATACTATATTGTCACATGTTAATAAAAGCCATCAGTGAGAGGCTGAGTAACAAAGACCTAGACACAATAGATATAAAGACATGCTACTATCACACAGACAGAGATGGAATAATAGGAATTGTTAGTTTATTAGTGGATATTTTGTGATACGACAATTTTTGCTTGCGTGCATGCCCTCACGTGATAAATATTTCATTCATAAAGATCTCATGTATATCAGAAAGTGAATGCTAAGCTTAAAAATAACAACATCCCACAGATTGAGTCATTCCTAAGTGTTTTAAGGAAAATAAAGTATGGAGAAAAACAAGCTGTAAAATTACACAGCTCAAGTAACCCCAGAATCAAGTAAAACTGACAAGGCTCTCCATAACATGGTTAATGGGAAAAATAGCAAATATCCCAGGAATGCTCTATAACTAGAATGTCCCCCGTGCCTCTTTCCCCACATACCATACCAAACCACACCCACACTAGCTTTCCTGAACTGACTCAAGTTCAAAAAGCTAGTGTAATCTCTTGTACTGGCATCACACTGCCTGATAATTCATGTGTTAACCTGAAACTGTCTGAAAAGCTTCCATTGCACCATTATCCTAAATGGATTAGCAGGTGAAAACATGTAAAATTACTCATACTTTCAACATTTCAAGGAAAAAGTTTCATATTCTAATTTTAGGTAGTACATACTTCATCAAATAGAACTTTGGAAGACATTTCACAAATACTTAGTGAATGAGGACAGTCACTAGTATCAGTCTAAAATCCAGAGAAATGGTTGCGAGCAAGACAAATGTAGTCCTTGCTCCAATAGAGAATACAGATTGAAGACTTAGTTAAATTAATAACAGGGAGTTATGAAAAGATACCAGGGAGATCTAAACTAACAGCTCTATTTCATGCCCTCATTTTAAATCTGGGGAAAGTGAGCTGCCCAAGAAAATTCAACAAGTTATGGGAAAAGCCTACGGTTTTACTTTATCGAATTATCCCCCAATATTACTATTTCATGTTTTCAAATGATAGATTTTTCATGTCATCTGATTTTATTTCACAAAATATTTAAAGCTATCGTTATTTCACAAATCCACTAAACTTTCAATCCAACAGTGAATTCATGTTACAACATTTTACTCAGTAACTGTTCCTGATGTGAAAAGTCAAAACATTAAGGAAACAGATGAGCCATCTGAATCTCATTTCTAGATCATGACCAAATGTAATTTCTCAGGGGTTTTGTACATTACATGTAAAAGACTCCCAAGGGCTAGTACCACATGTGCACTTTGTAACATAATTCCTAAGCAATTATAAGTTTGAAGCTTTGTACCTGTGTGATGGAGAAGGAGCTTCAAATTGAGGCACTGTGCTATCTTCACTGACAGGAGAGTATAAGCCACTCATTTCCTGAAAGCACAATTATTTGAGTTATAGTTGATATTTCAAACAAAAGATATACACATCAAAATGAGATACATTATATTCCTTTCCAACCCTAATTTTTATCAGTCCCTTTTTGTCTCAACATCCAACTTTCTCAAGGCTTCCTCTCACAGAATATAAAAGCAAGGATATCTAAAAAGTAAACAGATAAGCCTTTTCTCTGGTACACATTCTTAAAGAACTAGAAATTCTTTAATATTTGTTGCCACGCAGCTGTGCAGCCGTCTGTCTCCCCGTGCTTAACCCTAAACTGACCCTTTTGAGGACAGTGCTCATACACCTTGTGTCTGTCTCCCTGTTTGGCTCCAAAGGATGGCTGGTTAGTCAATGACGGGTAAGATTCCTCGTGGGAGGAACAACCTAAGACAGGCATGGTCGGGTGGGGGCCATTAGGAGAAATCTCGGGGCTCACAGAGGTGGGCATGAGCCCTCACTTGCCCCCCCAAAAGACTGGAGGTTTTCTACCTCTGTGGCTACATTCCTTCCCTCAACCTGCTTGGGAAGTGAGCTGAAGGTGTGATAGTATCTGTCCTTGGCACAGTAATCTTATCTTCCTGGGGTCATTTGCATATAGGGTGTGTGAAGGCAGAGCATCTGTCTTTATTGCTGCAGGCGGACTCTCGGTAATAGCAGCTTGCAGGCATGGGTAATTTGGCTTGAGCAAATTCTCAGGAATGAGACTGCAGACTGTGGAGAGAACAATGCTACTTCCAGGTGGGTGGAGAAATAAAAGCCGTGTGTGGGCCCATTAAGGGCTTTTAGTCCATGAGGCTGGAGACCCTTGGCCCCACACTCATTTAACTTTTGACTGCTGTTTCTTTTATTTCTTAACCCTTCGCCGCCCCCTCTCATTCTCCCACTGCTCATGTTGTGCGGGAAGCAACAAATATTGTTCATCACTAATGAAGCCACCAATGCAAAAAAAAAAAAGACAAATGTAAATACAGTTGAGCCTTGAACAATGTGAGGGTTACATGCAGCAGCCCCACCCCCCTCCACATAGTAAAAAATCCATGTATAACTTTTGACCCCCCCACCCCCAAATTTTCACTGTTTTTGACCAGAAGCCTTACCGACAGCATGAGCCGTCAATTAACATATATTTTGTATGTTATTATATATGTATTACATACTGTATTCTTACAAATAAAGTAATCTAGAAAAAGAAAAATGTTATTAAGAAAATCATAAGGAAGGGAAATACATCTATATAATAGTATTTATTGAAAAAAAAATGGATCTGCGCAGTTCAAACCTGTGTTGGTCAAGAGTCAACTGAATTTTAAATGACATGTGCGGTACACTACTGAACAATGAACTAGCTGATCTGGGTGAGGACCTACTGAAAAATATTGAGATAAATATGACAGTATGGTAACTGGATCATTAGGTTCAATTCACTGAAGTACCAAAGGACAGGGATTGTCTGTCTCTGCTTTAAATACATTCTCTGCAAACATCAAGTAAAGTAACACTCCTCTTGATTTAGGTATTAGCTTTGTTTAATAATCGACTTCAGCTCTAAGTTTTGATCATTAACCCAGACAAAAAGCCTCCAAATCAACTATTATTGCATAAATTATGCCTCTAAATCATACCAACAAACTGGCTTCCTTTATGTTCCACATTTTGAAAAAAAATTTTAAATGCCACTAAAGATACATAATCAAACAGAATTATTTCTGACTAATCCAAGTTCAGTTCAATCATATAGTCAAGCAAGGGGCATAAATATACAGTAGTAACAAGTTAGAAATGCCACATGGGATACTGAACTTCCACTAAATAGTGAGCTCAACATTAATTAATATGTATCAGCAAAAGAAAATGATAACACATGTGAATAATTAAAAACATATAGTAAATTTAAATAGAGCTGAAGACAATAACCTCACATCACAATATTCTATGAGCCTCTCAAAGGTCCTCCCATAGATTTCTATAAGTAAACTATGTCATATTATAAATCCCTACATTATTGGTAATGTATTATATCTTTTCAAAATTAAGCTCAGTACCTAGTAATTCAGTAGCTATGTAAAAATGATTTGTTTAAAAAAAGAATGCAATGATGACATCATTTTAACAGTAATAATCGAAAGTTTTGTGGGAGTTGATTTAGTTAATATGATGGCACACCAAGAAAACTGATTTTTTTCAAACTATCTGATAATTATGGCAATAAAACACAGTGAAAACAAATTTAAAATGTATTTTTTATCATCAAGAAAGTGATGCTTTTTCTATAAAAATATCAATTAAAGTAACATCTGGTACTTTCTACATAACAAAGACCAATGCCATAAATTTAATTCAGCAATTTAAAAGAAAGTGACAATTTCATGCAATTGAAAAATTGCTTGAGATGTGAGAAATTCTTGGTATCTTACTTCCACTCTTTTAATATCTTCTTCCAAAACGCTGAGTTCCTTCTGGATCTGTTCCAGTTGCTGTAGATAAAAGAGAAAAAGCCTAAATCAACCATACTGGCAAAACCAAGGTTATAAAACAATTATACATTTGGAAAATGAGTCCCAGTTTCCTAGGAGACTGGGCACTAGTGGTAAACTGCAGGATGAAAACCAGTACAAAAAAAGAGCTGGCAGTCCCTATGTTAAAATGTAAATATAGAGACAATATTCAAGAAGACTCAGCATTGACTTCATAATAAAAACATGAAAGATGAACAATGTGACTTAAAAATATAAGACATCCAAAGAACTTTCACATTACCTCATTTAACTGTAGCAATTAATGTCAGCATGTCAGTCAACCCCATTTAAAAAATAAAAATTAGTCTCATGGAGGTTAAATTCCACCGTCCAAAAGCAATCACAAGTTACATCTAAACATTTCCTTTTTAAGCATTTTTTAAAGCATATTTAAGATGTTTTACATTTGATATCTTACCTATTGCATCTTAACTTTTTCCATGCCATTAAAATGTAAACATTTTAATTGATGAATCACATTCAACTATATGTAACTATTCCCTGCTCGCCAGAGATTTAAGGTGTTGGCAAACTATCATAAGTAATTCTTATGAGTCTGAACATATGAGTCTGAATTTCAAATTTTATTGAGATTAAAAATGAAATTACTATAACAAAAGAAATAAAACAAAATCGGTTTCCAGAAGCACTATACAAATTTAAATTTCTATCACCAGTATATATTGAACCAATTTTTAAACGTAAAATAACAATAATGGATACTTATGTAATACTTATTGCCAGGTGTTATTACACATTAGGAAAATGAAACACAGAAAGGTTAAATGATCATTTTATCACCCAAGATCATTCAGCAAGTAAGCGGCAGACCTGGAGTTCAAATCAACACAGCCATCTTGTTCAAGCAGTCATTCTGTTGACCACAGTGCTATACTACTTCTTGAAAGGAGTACCTTATATTACTGAACTTGCATTTCTCTAATGACTGGTAAGGGTAAACAGACTTTTAAGGTTTATTAACATTAGCGCCCTCTCTTCTGTGGCAATACATACATAGTTGATAATATAATTGATAACTTACTAATTCAAATATTTACCAAACCTAAGGATTTTGCCAAGCACTGGGAAGAACAAGGTTTAGAAAACTACAGCCCTTGCCCTCGTGGAACTCAGTCTAGGGGAGATGGCAAATGAGTAAACCAGTAGTTAAAATACCATGTAAGCATTATGATGGTGGTATGCACACAGAATTAAGAGAACACAGATTGTTCCTAACCTAGATGGAAAACTCAGGAGGAGAGAGACAACTGGATAACTGAAATTCGATTTGAAATTAAATGAAAAGCTGAGCCCTAAAGGACTGAGAATTTTTCCAGGTGGAAAATAGTGGGGAAATACAGAATAAGCAGGGAATATAATAACACATACAAAGGCATAAAAACTATGAGAAAGGAAAATAATAAATCTGAGGAAGCTATGACAAATCACCCACTATCAACCAGCACAGTCAGAAAATATGAGAACGAGAACCGGATGTAGGGAACACCAATGTTTAAGAGATGGGCAAAGAAGGAAGGAGCAACCCTGTATTAACTATCAAGGAGGGCAGAGCAGTAGCCATAAAACTAGGAGAAAAAACAACATACTAGAAACCTGGGGGAGGGGGCCGGGGAGAGGTGTAAACAGAGTGAGCGATAAACACTGTCAAATGCTTTAGGCTCTTCCATCTACTTTAATAAACTTTCCTCCACCCTACCATTTTTCACAATTCTCCTACTCACGCTCTCCCTCAAAGATATAGTCTGTCTTAGAACAGTTTCAAATAAAAGCTGGTCAACTGATAAATTCTCTCATGCCCCAGGTTTCAGAGAACTAGTGGGGGCTCACCACTTCTACTGCATTCCACAGCCATTTCCAATAATTAGTCTTCCACTCTAATATAAAAACCACTCTGGTCTGGCTGGATCCAAACAGCCTAATCACTCTCTTCTCATCTTAGCCATCTATAAACACCCCAATTATTTCCAACATCACTGAAGCATTTTGTCTTTTAGTTCACAGACATTTTCAACTCCTGTGATCCTATCCTCTAATTCAGCAAAGAATCCCATGGTCATCCCTTAACCATTTTCATTTAATTACCTTGAAATGCTTCACCTTTAAAATCCTTATTTAAACAAATGCTGGGTGTCTTTAGTATGAAGATCTTTAGTAAAAATATATTTTAAAAGAAGGATGAAAGTAAACATCTATAATATCAACACCTAGAGATAGCCAATATTACTTGTGTGATGTATAATACATAATTAAGATCAAATTAATTTTGATTCCACTTCTGAACTTGAAATACCAGAAAAGAATTCTAGTATCACCTGAAATTCCAAAATATTAAAATCTAATGCCCTATTGTCTGAAGAATATGTCCCATCCTTCTAATACTTATATATATATAGTGAACTAAATAAAACTGCCAATGTTCAAACAATTTTTATTTCCAAAAACAGCAATTTCACATGGTTCAATTTAAAATAAAACAACTAAAATTTAAGCCCTGCCCTAATACATATACAGGTAAGAGTGTAAAACAAAATGATGTATCCTACATATGTGAAAAAAGTCTGAAAAGGTATCAAGACAAAAATAAAATAAAAAAAGTCTGGAGAAACAGAAACTATTTAGAGACCATATATTAAATTTGAGGCATTTACATTTCATAAGGAGATTCTGAATTTCTTCTCATCTTCTTCCAGGGTTTGGAGATCTAAATTACTATGGCATTGTGTTATTGTGATATGTCATAAGAATACTTATTTGGTGTTTGTTAGGGCTCCTGGCCACAGCTCCTGAAACCCTTGATGGTGTCTTTCTGTGTGCTAATGACATGACAGGTGGAGTGGGGCTCCTGTACAGGCTCCAGAAGAGGGATGGTTGCCAGGGGAAGTAACCATGTGATTAGAGAGTTGGAACTTTCAACCCCACACCCCAACATTCAGGGAACGGAGAGGGGCTGGAGACTGAGTTCAATCACCGATGGCCAATAAATCATGCCTATGTAACAAAAACTCCATTAAAAAACAAAACAACAACAACAAAAAACCCAACTTATGGGATTCAAAGGGCTTCTGGGTTAGTGAACAAGTGATGATGGGAGCGTACCAAGCCTGGGGAGGGCCTGGAAGCTCTCTGCCCCTTCCCACCCACACACTTTGTCCTACGCACCTCTAACATCTGGCTGTTCCTACATTGCATACTTTTATAATAAACTGGTCATCTAGTAAGTAAACTGTTTTCCTGAATTCTGTGAGCCATTATAGCAAGTTATCAGACTTGATGAGGGGCTCTTGGGACCCTGAAATTTACAGCCAATCTGTCAGAAGCACAGGTGACAACCTGGACTTGTGATTAACATCTGAAGTAACATTTCATTCTTGTGAGACTGAGCCTTTAACCTGTGGGATCTGGGGGTAGAGGTAGATAGTGTCAGAATTGTTTGACTATAGGACACCTGGTTGGTGTCTGTGGAGAACTGAGAATAGCCTGGTGTGGGAAAATCAGCCACACATTTGGTGGCCAGAAGTATGGAGAGTAGAGTGATGAATAAAGGAAATAAGTGTTTTCCTTTCTGGTATCAATGTGAGACATTATAGTATAGGAAATAGAAGACAAAGGGCAACCATTTAAAAGAAGTGGAAAGATTTGGGCAAAGTTCACTCTGCAACCATCGTTCATAATCAGAGAGACAGAATACAGAAAAAAATCATGAATGAGTCCAAGAGTGTTTTGGAGATACATGAAGGAAGTCCATAAAGATGAACTGCCATTATCTGAATGAAAATCAATCACAAACTGGGAAGAACAGGCAAACCCCTGGTCTTATCATCATTATGAATTTGGGGACTACTAAAAGTAATAATAATAATAAATACATAAGATGGTGAAATGCCACTTGTGAGCACAGTCCTAAGCACTCTTTTAACACAAAACCCAAATAAAATTTAAAGAAACATTTAAATTTAAGAAGTGCAATAAAATCTCAGAATCCCTTAAGACTAAATAAAAGAATTCAAACTGAAGAATGCCTTTTACTGACATTAGATTTGGTGCAGGTAGGTATCATTGACATGCATTCATTTAACCTTCGGTCAACCTTTGGTCATAATTTGATAAAATAGGCTAAAGTATTAAACTCAGTATCTGAACTTTGTTTTTTAAAAGCTAATATAGTCAGAATAAAATTACAGCTGCCAAGACTACTTCAATCACCTGACATATTCCAAACTGAACAAAAGAATACTGGTACACTTTCAGAAAAAAGCTGGTTTAAAAAAAATGTAGCAAAACTGAATACACATAAAAACAGTGAGATGCCACTACACACCTATCAAAACATCCAAAATCCAGAACACTGACAACACCAAATGCTGATGAAGATTTGGAGCAACAGGAACTCCCATTCCTTGGTGGTGGGAATGCAGAGTGGTACGACCACACTGAAAAGCAGTTTAACAGCTTCTTAAAAAATCAAACATAGCCAGTAAAGCAACATCCTCCACAACTAGACTGTAGAACAAAAGGACAGCAATTTGTCTGTTCCCCTTCCCCGATTCCCCAATGCTGTTCCCTCTCCTAATTCCCCAATGAAATCTTTAAAAAAAAAAATCAAATAACTCTTACACAGGATTCAGTAATCACGATCCATGGTATTTACCCAAATGAACTGAAAACTTATGTCTACACAAAAACATGTTCATAACAGCTGTATTTATAATTGCCAACACTTGGAAGCAACCAAGATGCCCTTCAGTAGGTGAATGTATAAATAAACAATGGTCCATCCAGACAATGGAATATTATTCAGCGCTAAGGAGAAATGAGCTTTTAAGCCATGAAAAGACACAGAGGAAACTGAAATGCTTATTACTGTGTAAAAAAGGCCAATCTAAAAGGCTATATACCATATGATCCCAACTCTATGACATTTTGGAAGAGGCAAAACT